CCGCCCGGCCCGCGGGTGGCGCTCCGCCCCCCGCAACGTCAGGCCGGGGGCGGGGCTCGGCGGGGCCGTCCACCGTGACGTGAACGACAGGGCCCGGGAGACCCCGCCCCGTGACGTCATACTGGGGCGGGGCTCAGAGGGGACAGGCTGAAGCCCCGCCCACCACGCCGGCCGCGGGCAAGGAGCGGGGCCAGGGGCCGGGCTAGACGGCTGGGGCGGGACCACCTGGCTCTCCGCCCACTCACCGCTGCCTCTGGAGCTGCAAACAGACGCCGGTGGTCAACTGACCACGAAGCTCTTGGCTCTGGAGTCTCCTTGCCCCTTGCAGACCCACGTGCCCTGCTCTGAGACCTGTGCAGATCGTGGGCCCCAAAGTCACAGGGCCGACAGGTATCCCTTCTTGTGCAAAAGGACTCCCCGGCGCTATTTAATGATCTAGAAAGTGAGGTGCAGGCGTCACATCTTAGGGAAGAACCTTCTGTGTACCGAGTGGAAACAGTGCCTGAGCTCTTAGGAGGACCTCATCCTTAGTTTGGGCGACCCCAGCTCCATCCCAGACTCTGGATGCCCTGCCTGTCTGGCCTGGAGTCGTTGGCCTGGGGCCCCCACACGGTGACCCCGCAGGCAGGCAGGAAGCACACGCCCACCTCAGGCTCAGGGCTGTGGTGCCTGCAGTGGGCCAGTAATGGGGGCCAGGCTGCCCCCTGGCTTCAGTCGGGCCCGTCTGGGTACTGCCCTCTTTCACAAATACCTTGGCGCAGGGACGACGTGTCCCACACAATCACATCTACCTTTATTGACAGGCTAAGCAGAAGCGTCGGGGGCTCGGACATCTCAGAGTCCCTCCAGGACTGCTGTGTGTGCAGGGCTTGTCAGGACCCAGTGCATCCCCAGGAGCGGCCAGTACGGAGAGGCCCCAGATACTCCAACACCAGCCTGGCTCCCCGCTCGGGAGAAGCTGGGTGCACTGGACAGTGGGACCCTGGGCCCCAGCGGGGTCTCCCTGGCAGGCTGTGGAAGAGCTGTGGGAGCTGGGCCCCGAGACCGACCCACAGGACATGCTAGTTTCAGGACGCATCCAAGAGGAGGCCTCTACCCATCTTGGTCAAGAGCCAGGGGATGAGGAGTCCTGGGATGGTTTGGGGGAAGTCCGAGGTATGGGGTGCCGGTGCCGGAGT